AACACAAAAGGAAGAAATCACAGTTGAGAAAATCATGTTGTTCATAGCATATGATCAATTGCTCAGATCAAGTAAAGCACAAAACAGAAAAAATTAAGATCATTGTTAGAGGAGCAGAAAATTTTTTTTGGGATGACTGATGTAACATGGGAACACATTAATAAATACTTGGGGGAGATGGGAAACCAGGAACACAAGGGGAGAGAGTATAATGAATATTTTACAGTGGAACGCTAGGAGTTTAATAGCGAATGGTCAGGAGTTTAAAGGGTTCATTGAAAAAAGTACAAAGAAACCAGATGTAATATGTATCCAAGAAACATGGCTAAAAGCTAAGCTAGATTTTGTCATTAAAGGATATACCAGCATACGGAAAGATAGAGAAGGGGGTAAGGGAGGTGGATGTGTTACTTTCATAAGAGAAGGAATAAATTATAGATTGGTTAAAAAAGGATTGCAATTGGAATTTATAATCATTGAAATATGGACAAGGAAGGGGAATATTAAAATAATAATTTATTACAATCCAGGGAATAAATTGTCAGTTGGGGCACTAGAGGAAATTAATGAAAAGCTGGGTGGGAAAGTGATATGGTGTGGTGATTTTAATGGACATAATACAATGTGGGGAAATAAAAATGATCACAATGGCCTAGTGATTGAGGAATTTATGGATAATAGAAATCTGGTGTGCTTAAATGATGGTAGTAGTACAAGAATTAATTTAATGCAGGGTACAGAATCAGCAATAGACCTTACAATAGTTTTAGACTCTCTGGCAGGGATGTGTACGTGGACAATTCTTAAAGAAACGACGATGGGTAGTGACCACTATCCAATAACAACCAAAATGGAGTTGGAAGCGCTGAAATACGATACGAGGGGAGAAAATAGATGGAATTTCAACAAAGCTGATTGGGAAAGATTTGGGAGTATTTGTGACAGAGAGATGGCAAAAATAGATTTAAACATAGGTATTGATGAACTGAACATGTCAATATGCTCTATTATAATAGAAGCAGCAAATATTTCAATAAAAAAGAAAAAAGGAGCTGTTAAGAAAAAAATAGTTCCTTGGTGGACAACAGAGTGTGAAAAAGCCATAAACTGTAGAAATAAAGCTTTTAAACAGTTAAAACGGAATCACGGTATTCAAAACCTTATGAATTATAAAAAACTGCAAAGTATTGTGAAGAGAACTATTAAAATGGCAAAAAGAGATTATTGGAGAGAATTTTGTAGTTCAGTAGGTAGAGAAACAGAAATGAGTAGAGTGTGGACAATGATAAAGAGAATGAATGGGATTAAACAAGAACGCGGATATCCAGTTTTACAAGAAGGAGAAGCAATAGCAATAGACAATAAGGATAAAGCAGCATTATTGGTAAAAAAGTTTGTTACAATACATAGTTCACAGAATATTAGTGCCGAAGGCAGAAGAGGGAGAGAAAATACCATCAAAGAAAATGGAGCAGGATTAGAAGAAAATGAATGTGGAAATGAATTATTAAATATACCATTTAGTAGAACGGAGCTGAATTGTAGTATTCGACGTTGTAATTTATCTGCACCAGGAAAGGATCAAATCTGTTATATTATGATAAAAAATCTTGGTGAATCATCAAAAGAAATCCTTTTGGAATTATATAATAGGGTTTGGGACAAGGGTAAATTACCACAGTCATGGAAGGAAGCCATCATTATACCAATAAGGAAACCGGGTAAGGATCATACACAACCAGAGAACTATAGGCCAATAGCTTTAACATCAAACATTTGTAAAATTATGGAAAAAATGGTACATGAAAGATTAACACATTATATAGAAAAGAAAGGATATATGTCCAAATTTCAAAGTGGATTCAGAAAGGGTAGGAACACAATGGATCCGATTTTGTGTTTGGAACATGAAATCAGAACAGCTCAAGTTAATAGAGAAAGTATTATAGCTGTGTTTATTGATGTGGAAAAGGCATATGATATGTTGTGGAGGGCAGGTTTAATTATAAAACTGAAGAAAATAGGAATTAAAGGGCAAATGTTAACATGGATTCAGGAGTTTTTAACAGACAGAAAAATACAGGTAAAGGTAGGTCAAGAGTACTCAGATAACTTTGGAAGAGAAAACTGTACACCACAGGGAAGCATTGTTAGTCCATTACTTTTCTCTTTGATGATAAATGATATATTTGAGGTAGAAGAGGGGATGGGACGATCTTTATTTGCAGATGATGGAGCTTTATGGAAGAGGGGAAAAATATAGAGTTCATTGTAAAGAGGATGCAAATGGCTATCAAAACTGTTGAAAACTGGTCACTTAAGTGGGGGTTCAAATTGTCTGTGGAGAAAACAAAAATTGTACTTTTTACAAGGAAAAAAGTTGTCAATAAAATTGAAATAAAATTGTATAATCAGGTAATTGAGCGAGTGAAACAGTTTAAATTCTTAGGTGTATGGTTTGATGAAAGACTAACATGGACATTCCATATTAAAAAAATAGTGGATAAATGTAAAAAAATAATGAATTTAATGCGCTGTCTGACAGGAAGAGATTGGGGTGCAGACAGGAAGTCTATGAAAATCATTTATACAGGACTGATCAGATCAACAATAGATTATGGAAGCATAGCATATAATTCTGCATCAGATAGATCATTAAATAAACTGGATAGAATTCAATATCAAGCTTTAAGAGTAATCACAGGGGCATTTAAAACAACGCCAACAGAAGCAATACTGGTGGAAATGGGAGAAATACCACTAAACATTAGAAGAGAACAGTTGGCGTTAAATTATTGGGTTAATCTAAAAGGTCATGATCGACATCACCCGACAAAGTATTACTACCATGTTGGGAAAAAGAAAAAAAAGAGACAAAGTTTTGGTTGGATTATGGATCGGAAAACAAGAGAAGTTCAACTTGATGAAGTGAATATTAGTCCTACAGTTCCAATGCCAATCCTACATAGGTGGTTATTCATAGAACCGTCAGTAGATCTGAAATTACTAAGAAAAACGAGAAATAAAAATAATATAAACTCAAATGATTGTATTGATTATATTAACCAATATTATGGATATGTGCAAATGTATACAGATGCATCAAAGGATACGTTAGATAGAGTCGGTGTAGCTTTCATCATACCAGAGTTTGGGGTGTCGGTAGGGAAAAGGATCACTGATAAATTATCGGTATATACGGGAGAAATGGTCGCTTTATTATTGGCTGTTCAGTGGGTAGAGGATATTAAACCGATGAGTACAATAATATGTTCGGATTCTAGCTCTTCTTTAATCAGTTTAAAACATAATGGTTCAGAGTGTCGGCCGGATATATTAGTAGAAATACAACAAATGCTGTACAGGTTGAAAATGATGGGACTAGCTGTGACTTTCTTATGGATACCAGCACATGTCGGTATAACAGGAAATGAAAAAGTAGACAAAATAGCGAAAAGTGCTACCAAAAGAGAGGTAGTGGATATAGAAATAGCATACAGTAAATCAGAATTAAAAAGCATTATTAAACAAAAAATGAGAAAAATGGCAAAAACAGTGGGAGGAAGGAAGAAAAGGACGTTGGTTTAATAGAATTCAAAGGAAAACGGGAGAAATGAGGTGCGCTGGAAGAAACAGAAGGGAGGAAATAGTTCTATCACGGCTAAGATTTGGACATGTTGGGTTGAACAAGTCATTGTTCATTATAGGAAAACATGATACAGGAAAATGTGGGTACTGTGGAGAGGATGAGGATGTAGAACATGTGTTAATACATTGTCAAAAATACAGTCTTGAAAGGAATCAACTGAATACTAGACTCACTGACATGAAATTAAGATTAGATTTGTTTGAATTATTACAGCACAATTCAAAGTCTGAAAGTATTCGAGCTTTAATGCAATACTTGAAACAAACTCGATTGTTTGAGAGAATATAGGTTTTTTTTTTTTTTTTTGGAACGTTGTTCCAGTCCATACTCCACACCAGTAGGTGGCGGCCATGCACCTTTCAGTTGTTTGCTCACCGCCATAAAACCCCAATAAGAAGAAGAAGAAGAAGAAGGACTTTGCTGTAATTGCAGTCTTTTTTGATATTGAAAAAGCTTATGATACTGTTTGGAAAGAAGGTTTATTAATAAAACTGGAAAGACTTGGGGTAAAAGGAAAGCTATTTAATTATATAAATAATTTTTTATTTGAAAGAACAATAGAAGTGCGAGTGGGAAAGGAAGTTTCGAATAAATGTAGTGTGCAGAATGGTACTCCTCAAGGTAGTGTCTGTAGCCCAGTATTATTCCTG